TGTATGTGTGTGTGTGTGTGTGTGTGTGTGTGTTTGGTGGGGCCAGAAAGATGAAACTGAAACAAAACCTTGTAGGTGGACAAGAGGGGCATGTAAGCACCAGGGGGAAGTGCCAAGGTCCTGTAGAGGCATCAGGAGGCAGGAGCGAGGTGGGGGAGGTCTGACAAGGCCTTGCGGGCCTCAGTGAGGATTTTGGTTTTGCTAGTGAGCTAGGAAGATTCACTTGGAGGATTTTGATCATTTCATGGTGGGGAGGCAACACAGGGTTGAGGAGGGGCCAGACAGGGCTTGTGGGTGACCTGAGGTGACCCCTGCAGCCTGACTCGGGGAACCCTCGAGTGTAAGTCTTTGGGGAGCCGGGCAATGCCCGGTAGTGTTTGGGGGGCATTTCCAGTGGTGCTCAGGGTGTCAGGGATGGAATGTGGGGCCTCCCACACGCAAAGCGGGTGCTCCAGCCCTTTGAGCTATCTCACCCAGACTCCAGGAGTGCTTATGGTACTGCAGAACCGGTCACTCACTTCCTACCCCAGCCCAGCCCAGAAGGTGGGCTTGCATAGCCCTAATGTGATGAGCTCAAACCAGGTGGGGAAAGCAGGAACTATTTTGCAGCAGTATCCCCTGGGGAGAGAAGTGCAGAATGGCTCCTGAGCACTTGGAGGCTTGGAAAAATGGTTTTAAAAAGGGGAGGATTTCAGGGCAATAGTGGCACATCTTGCTCTAGGACCCCTCTCCTTCCTGCCCCCCCCTAACTAAATCCTTAGCAACCATGTCCCTTTAGATCTGGGCTGGGGGGTGGGGTAGAAGATGAGGGCCACACTCCAGTGTGCCCTGGAAGAGGCTTTGTAATTAGGAAAGAACCAGTAGGGACCAATCTCTGCTGTGCCCCACCTGTGGTGGGCTGGGTTGTGTTCCTTCTAGGATGGGGGGTTCATGGCCCTGGAGAGAGCTGCTCATGTGGGATCATGGAGAATGATAGAAAGTGCTACAATCAGAGCCAGAGAGATGGTACAGCAGGTAAGGCACTTGCCTGGTATGCAGCTGACCTGAATTTGTTCGCTGCCCCAAACCCCATATATTCCCTTGAATTCCACCTGGAGTGAACCCTGAACACAGAGGCAAGAGTAATCCCTGAGCACCACCAGCTGTGGTCCCCAAACTAAAAATAAATTCTCTCTCTCTTTCTCTCTCTCTCTCTCTCTCTCTCTCTCTCTCTCTCTCTCTCTCTCTCTCTCTCTCTCTCTCCACTCTCCTCCTGTTGTTCATCAATTCATCAATTTGCTTGAGCAGGCACCAGTAACGTCTCCATTGTGAGACTTGTTGTTACTGTTTTTGGCATATCGAATACGCCACGGGGAGTTTCCCAGGCTCAGTCGTGCAGGTGGGACAGTCTTGGTGGCTTTCCGGGCTCTCTGAGAGGGGTGGAGGAATCGAACCCCGGTTGGCCGCATGCAAGGCAAATGCCCTACCCACTGTGCTATCACTCCAGTCAATATAAAAAATACATAAAATAATAATAAGGCAAGTTCTACTTGCTATTGACGCTGCTGGGCTCAGAAGTTAGCTGCAGACCAGACAGACAAGGTCCTGCCCCGGGTGACGATGAGGAATGGAGATGATGAGGAACCGAGTGGGGAATGATGCCATGTGTAAGAAGGAAGCATGTCACCTCCTATGGAGAGATAGTGGAGCTGGCAGAGGACCGAATCCATAGTACAGCAGATAGGACAGTTGCCAGTTTTTTTTTCCTTTTGGGTCACACCCGACGATGCACAGGGGTTACTCCTGGCTCTGCACTCAGGAATTACCCCTGGCAGTGCTCGGGGGACCATATGGGATGCTGGGAATCGAACCCGGATTGGCCGTGTGCAAGGCAAACGCCCTACCTGCTGTGCTATTGCTCTAGCCCCACTTGCCAGATTTGATCCCAGCATCATATAAGGTCCCCTGAGCACTGTCCAGCATTGATCCCAAAGCACAGAGTCAGGAGTAAGCTGGGAGCACCACCGAGTATGGGAGAGGGAAAAAATGCTGGCAGAGGGTCTCTGAGGCAAGGACACCTGCTGCCACCTCTTCTCTGTTGAGGGGTCCTCCTGCAGATATTCCCTGGACAATATGTATTCACCCCCTGCACCCATGGGTAGGCATAGGCAGGAAGCCATGGGCCTGGGCAGCATGTTCTGCAGGCATGCCCCAGGGCCATGCCCATGGATTGGGCCACCTGTGGCTCCTTCTAGAGCTTCATGTGTTCCACACCTCCTTCCCTTTCTCACCTCCTCCCCTACATGTCTCCCTCGTGCGCTCATTCCACTTACACCGGCCTCACTGCTCTTCCAGTTGGCCGAACAAAGGCTCCCCCCAAGGCCTTTGCATCTGTTGTTCCTTTTGCCTGGAAGCACCTTCTCCAGAGAGGCATGTGCCACCCACCACCTTCTCCACGTCTCTGCTCAAATGCCACCTCTTCTGAGAAGTCCTCTGGGACCACTTTCATCTTTCTCTCTCTGCTGTGTCCTACTCTTGTTCTCCACAGCACTTAGTATATTGCCTGACATGATAATGGTGTTTTTTTTTTTATTTACCATCCTCCCACTGGATCAGAAGCTTTCTGAGCAAGACTATGTCTGGCCTTGCTCATAGCCTATGAAACAGAGCCAGGGCAGTTAGTACATATCTATAAAACAGGCAATTCAGAAATATAAGTGGCTCTAATTTAAGAGTCCTGACAGGTCAGACTGACTCCAATCCCGGGCGGTGACAACAAGTGGTGTCAGCCCTGCCTGACCCCTCGCTCACAGTGACCTTTAACTGCCTTCAGCAGCCTCTAGAGACACCACTGTGTTATGAGGGGTTCTGCAGGCGTGTCCTTGAACAGCCAGCTCAGAGACAGAGTTGATGGGGCCCCGCTTAAGGGATGGTTGGGAAAATTGGAGACAATGGTGGAGGGAAGGTGCCATGGCAGTGAGATTGGGATTGGAATATCTGTAACAAATCATGAACAACTTTGTAAACCACAGTGTTTACACAGTAAGATGTAAGGGGGAATTAAAAAAAAAAAAGCTGTTCAAATGGAAAAGAAATATATAGGAGCTTCCCTTAACCTCACCCCATTCAGGCCTCTCTGCAAAGGTCAGGGGTCAGCCTGGTCCAGCCTTCTTTGGGCCCCAAGGTAGAGGAGACCCAGTCCTGGGGGTCCAGGCTGCAGGGACGCCTGGAGAGTCTGTGTCTCCTTAGCAAACGCTCCCCTTTCCTTTCCAGGGCCCGTCTGCTTTTCTGAACCAGAAGGTGTTTACACAAAACATCCTGGGTTTGGCGACAAATTCACCCTCAATGAAGAATCCTTAATGAATCTCCTTCTTTCCCCACATGGAGCGGCTGCGGGGGAAATGAGTGTCGTCTCTGGCAGCTGACGGCAGTCAAAGGCCAGCGTGAGCAGCACAGCCTCGGGGACGTCTGAGGCCACGATTTGGGGAAGGGCTGTTTCCTCCTAGGGTCTAGAGCCATGATATGGAGACCGTGAGATGGAAGCTTCTAGACCTATGTTTGCCTCTGCTGCCACGTATCGCAGGCTCTCTAGCCTTCCCGGGCCTGTCTGCAGCTGAGAAGTGAGACGGGAATAACTTGCGTCATAAAGGTGCTTGAGGAATTCGAGGAAGGAAAGAGGGCATAAAAGGGCCTGTTCCCTGGGTCACCAAGAGGAGAATCAGAATGGATGCGGCCAGACAAGCCTCTGAAAGTTCCCTGCTCCCTTTCCACCCTGCCAAGAGACAATCTGAGCCGCATGGTGGGACTGTTCACTCCCTTTCTGTGAGCTGGTCATTGACCATATCAGAATGAATGATTCGTGGACCTCCTTGGTGGACTAGGTCTTGGTGGACTCTAACATGGGGGGGGGGGGGGTGGTTTGCATTTCTCCAGAGCCCGGTTGGTGCCTGCCATGGAACTGCTGAGCCTTGAACAGGTGGGGGATATGGAACCAGGGTGAGGACTGCAGTGCCTCCAGCTGCCATGTACAAAGAGACCTCTACATGTGCACATGGGCTTCCGCATCCATGCATTCAACCAACTAACACTGAAACAATGAGAGTGGAACCTGGGAATGATTGCAGGGAGGGAACCCACAACCATGTGTAAGTGGACACTACAAACCCCAGGGTCAGTCTATCTACCTACCTACCTACCTACCTATCTCTATATTTCCACACCCAGCTGTGTGCAGGGGTCACAGCTGGCGGTGATCAGGGATCTATACTATATTTGGTACCAAAAGCAAGAAGTGCATAACCCTGTCCAATGTCTCTAGTCCCTATATATAATATTTCAAATTTGTCTTGCGTTTTTGTTTTCTGTTGTTTGTTTGGGGATCACACTTGGCGGTACTGATGGCTCACTCCTGGCTTTGCGCTCAGGGACCACTCCTGGTGGTGCTTGGGGGACCATATAGGGTGCCAGGGATCAAACCCGGGTCATAGCGTACAAGCACCTTACCTGCTATGCTATGGCACCGGCCCCTATAGTTTTATTTTGTTCTGGCTTTTGGCGCTCAGGTGTAACTCCTGCCAAGGGCTCGGGGAACCAAATGTGACAGAGGGATGGAACCCAGGTCCAGTGCGTGCAAAGCAAGCGCCCCTCTCCGCTGCAGTTTTTGTTTTGTGATTGATTGTCGGTGTAACTCAGCTAGGACGAAGCTGTTTGAGGAAAGTGGTTTGTTCCGTTGACTGCCGCATCCTCAGCACCTAAAAACTTCCCCATCGTCGGAAGAAGCTCAAGAAATCCTGGAAGGGAGCAATGAAGTGACCGGCCGCTGGGCGCTGGGTCTTCGCGGAGGGGAAAGGTACCTTTGTGTCCTGCAGGGGGCGCTGCAGCCCCGCCCCGAAGTTAGACCCCGCCCCTCGTGCCCGCCGAGCGCCGCCCTCCGGTGACTCGCCTCCATGCTTCCCAGATCTGCGCGTGCGCGCCGGAAGCGGGCTCAGCGCGGCGCATGCGCAGGCGGGTCGAGACGTCGCAGCGCAGGAGTGCGGGGTCGGCTGCGCCGCTGGGTACCACTGGGTACCACTCGGCATCATGCTGTCCCCGGAGGCGGAGCGAGTGTTGCGCTACCTGGCGGAGGTGGAGGAGCTCGCCGAGGACGTGCTGGCCGACAAGCAGCAGGTGGGAGACGCGGGGGCCCGTGGCGGCGCCGGCTGGCCCTGAGCTGACCAGTGGGTCCAGGGCCGTGGACGCGGGTCTCGGGCGGAGGGAGGCAGGTGGGCTCAGGCCCGGCCCGCGCCCCTCCAGCACTTTGATTCGGCCCCTTGGAGTGAACGCGGCCTTTCGCTCTGCCCCTCACCGCCGGCCTCGGAGGTTGTTTTTATTTTTAATTTGTTCACGACGATCACGACTATCCTGGTAATCGTCGATTGCCTCGAGCAGGCCCCAGTAACGTCTCCTTCATCCTAGCCCTGAGATTTTTAAAAAGTGCCATATTCAAGGCTCTTTCAGAGTTAGGAGAATGAGACCCATCATTGTTACTGGTATTTGGCATACTGGGTACGGCCACGGGGAGTTTACCAGACTCTGCCGTGTGGGCAGGTTACAATTTAATTTGTTGAAATCAAATAACCGTGAGATAGACCCTTGCAAACCTGTTCATGATTGGGTTTCGGTTATACGGTGTTCCAGCACCCATCCCTCCACCAGTGTACATTTCCCAGCACCAGTGTCCCCCCCCTTCCCTCCCACCACCCCCTAAATACCTCCACCCCCACCACCCCAGCCTGCCTCTATGGCAGGCACTTTTCTTCTCCTTCTCTCTCTCCCTCCCCCCGCCTTTTTCTCTCTTCCTCTTCTCCCTCTCCCTCCCCCTCCCCCTCCTCTTCCTCCTTTTGGGCATTGTGATTGGCAATATAGATCCTGAAAGGTTATCGTGTACATCCCTTTACCTACTTTCAACACTCAGTTCTTGACGATAATAGTTAGGAATTATCATGCTGGACAGGAGTTGGAAGATTATTTGACTACTTGCCACAGAAAGCAGTCCTGGGGGCCCCTGTCAAGGACTTGAGGGGAGAAGAGGAAGGACCACAGGCCTGAGTGATGGAGGTGCAGGAGGAAGGTGGCCCTTGGTTCTAAATGGAGGGAAGGAGTTGGTAGGAAGGGCAGGCGGAGGTGCTGGTCTGTTAGCTAAGAGATCGTTCTGGTGCGGAATGGAGGGGACCCAGGCGCCGGTGTCTGGTTCCTGCCCCGGAACAGTGAGAGACGGGTATGACTGGTGCAGGAGGGTGGGCCATGGTGGGGCGGGCGGTGCCGGGAGTGGCACTGATCCTCTCCAGGTAGACTGGAGGGGATTGTTCAGGGCCTCCTGGGAAGGGGCTGACTTGGGGGACGAGCCATTGGCCATTGCCTCCAAGTGTGCTGGGGATGACGGGCCTCGGAGACTGTGCTGACTTCTGGCTCCAAACCTGTGAGGTCTGGAGTGTTCCCAGGGTTTAGAGGGGAAAAGAGGCGAATTTAGGCAACTTGAGCAGGCAGCAGGATGCCAGCCTGGGGATCAGCTCTGAAGCTCTCCAGCTGAGAATGTCACATTGTCACCTTGTCATGTAGAACTGTCTGTGTCCCCTCACACACACACATCCCCCCACAGGAGTGCCGTTGGTTCCTTCTGCCACTAGGTCAGAAAGAGCCAGAGGAGCTTGTCCGTGCCTGGGTGGTTCTGAAATAACCTTGTTTTCTAGTGGATTAGAGTAGTCTGATGGGTTTAATGAGCACATATTTACCCAGTACTGTTTGGAGAGGGCAGTGAGGGGGTGGGGCACCAAGCTTAGTCTTTTGGACTTGGGAACAGAGCACTGTAGCACTGTCCTCCCGTTGTTCATCAATTTGCTCCAGCGGGCACCAGTAATGTCTCCATTGTGAGACTTGTTGTAACTGTTTTTGGCATATCGAGCCAAACATATGTCACATATATCATGGGGAGCTTGCCAGGCTCTGCTGTGCGGGCGGGATAGTCTAGGTAGCTTGCCGGGCTCTCTGAGAGGGGTGGAAGAATCGAAACTGGTTGGCCACGCACGCACAAACGCCCTACCCGCTGTGCTATCACTCTAGCCCAGGAACAGAGCAGGGGGAAGAAACAGGCAGGACATAGAAAGTAACCCAGGAACACTGTCTCTTGTTTCTCTCAGGCTTTTTCTTTTTTTAATGGGTGTGGGGGTCTCCCAGGCCGTGTGGGGGTCTCCCAGGCGTTGCTTGGGAGGCCCCAGGGTCCCTTGCAGAGATTCTTGGTCTGGTGGTTCCGTGCAGGCGTGGAGGAGGTGGTGCTGTTCGGGCCCTGCAGTGCCAGAGATTACCAGGGCTGTCCTGGTGGTGGCCGGGGGTCTCCAGGGCTGCACCCAGCGATGCTTGGGGACCATGTGGTGCTGGGGCTCGACCCAGGGTTGGCAGCATGCTAGGCCTGAGCCTTTAATCCCTGTGCCGTCTCAGCTCTGTTGGATTCTAACAGCCTGTGGTCTCGCGGGAGCTGCCAGGTTGGGGTCGAAGATGACTGAGTGCCCTCCCGTGCTTTTCAGATCGTGGACCTGGACACCAAACGGAATCAGAACCGGGAGGGTCTGCGGGCCCTGCAGCGGGATCTCAGCCTCTCCGGTAAGTCGCGGCTTTCCGACTGCTGCCCTGAGGCCTGGCCAGTTTGCTGTCATGGCAGGCAAAGTCATCCTGGTTGGGAGCAGCCGGAGGCCACGGGTGGAGGAACCCACTCGGAGAATGTCAGTGTGAGCGTGGCTCAGGGTTTCGGCTGCTCTCCCTGGTGACAGCCATTAGGTGCTGGCTTGTCGTGTAGGAAGGTGCTGGGTGAAGGATGTGGAAAACACTTTCCCGTCCTTGTGTTCCCCAAGTGGGTAAAAGGAATCAAGAATATTACTGAAAACTGGGAGGACATTTCAGAAGGAATTGGACGTGGGCTGGGCATCGGCAGAAGGGATGGCGCCTCCTTCCAGGAGGCCAGATAGCTGTGACAGTCGACAAGGAGAAGGTCGCGCCATGATGAAGAGAGACCGGGCTATGACCGAGGTCCTGAGGCTCCAGGGGAAGGGAGAGTTTTGTTCACAGAGCATGGGGAATTCGGAAGCTTCCAGCTGCTTCTTGAAGCAGGAGCCTGTAGGACCCACACCCCCTGGGACTCTCCGTCCTCCTCTCTCCTCCCCATCTCTCAAGCCTGTCTTGCTGGTGTCCTTACTTCCCAAGCATGAGACTCAGTTGTGCCATTCCCATTTCTCTGCCTGCCTCGTACGTCTGCAAGACTCGGGCCCCCGTGATAGGCCATTAGGTGCTGGCTTGTTGTGTAGGAAAGTGATCTTTCCCCTCAGAAGCCACATAATCCAGAGACCTCTGGGGACCTGCACAAATATGTCCCTCTTGACAGAGGCACCGGCGTTCTCTCCCACCTTACTTTTTTTCTTTTTGGTTTTATTTGTTGTTTGGGGGCCATAACCGGTGATGCTCAGGGGTTACTCCTGACTCTGAACTCAGAAATTACTCCTGGTGGTGCTCGGGGAACCATGTGAGATGCCGGGGATCGAACCCAGGTCGGTCACGTACAAGGAAAGTGCCCTCTCCAGCCCCTCTTTAAGTGTTCAGACCCGTCAGTATCTGTCACCTTGAGTCTCTGCTCGCTTATTCCCTCTCCGCCACTGTACTGCCAGCTCTGTGTGGGCCTCCCAAATACTGCAGGGCGAGTGGTAAGTGCTCAGAGATGATTTTGTTGAAGAGTCGGCCCTTTGTCATTTCAGAAGATGTGGCGGTTTGCTTCGGGAACATGTTTATCAAGATGTCTCACCCGGAGACAAAGGAAATGCTCGAGAAAGGTAAAGGCTTTCGGGGGGTGGCTTAGGGGTGAGGCTGCTCACCCTTCCAGCCTTGGCTTTTTGTTGTTCTTTGGGGCCACACCCAGCGGTGCTTCGGCCTGCCTCCTCCCTGTGCTCAGGGATCACTCCTGGCACTGCTCGGGGGAGCATACGTGGTGCCAGAGATGGAACCTGGGTTGGTTGCATGGACGGTAGGTCCCTTCACCCCTGTACTCTCTCCGTCCCGGTTACAATAGCTTATGGTTCTTCACCTCTACCACCGCCGAATTGCCCAGCCCCTCCCAGCCCCCAGCCTCGTGTCCCCTCTCTTGACCCCGCTGCTGCCATCTGAATTCTGCACTCCAAGGCCAAGGGTTTGTCATCGCTCCAACTGCCTTTTCCCTGGTTTTGTCTGTGCACAGATGAGTGAGATCATCAGGTTCTGTCCTCCTCCCTCTGACTGACTTGAACGTGGTGCCCTCCAATTCCATCCGAGTTATACCATTATCCTCTTCACCCAGACGGGACAGTCAGGCTTGGACAGCCCGACGCAAGGGGATTGTGTTAGAGGGTGCAGGTGATGGGGGACTTAGTGTCCATGTGACGGCTGGTAGCGTGTCTCTAAAGGGGTGCGGTCTTCTGAGTGCAGTTGCTGAGGACAGACCATGTGCGCCTGGCACACCCCCGCGATAGTCTGTCCCTTCAGGCCCCTGTGCACGTGCAGACGGGGCAAGGCAGGGGCTTGGTCCACATGCAGCCTTGGCTTATTTGGGAAATTAAGGTTGTCCACTTCCTGGGCAGAACTGCATCACATTTAGGGCTGGAGCGATAGTACAGCGGGTAGAGCATTTGCCTTGCATGCGGCCAATCCAGGTTCAATCCCCGGGCATCCCATATGCTCCCCTGAGCACAGCCAGGAGTGATTCCTGAGTGCAGAGCCAGGAGTAACCTCTCAGCATTGCTGGGTGTGACCACAAGCACCAAAAATAAATAAAACCAAGTCATGTTGCTACCCAAAGCCACCAGAGAGCCTGGCAGCAGGAACTTTATTCACGTCTACTGCTGAGACTGAGCTGAGAATGGAGATTGTAAGGGGAGCCAGCCTCCAGGGCCTGCGACCACGGAGGAGCATCTGTCCTCAAGTCTTAACAACCATCGTGTTCTGACGCTGGGAGTTTCTGTGACCGCCCCACAGCTGAAACCTTGCTATTCCCTCCGCAGCCTCTGTCCTGAGGAGGGCCCATCCGGGAAGGGCCAGCCTATGCCAGGTGCCCACAGAGGCCCGGGCAGGCCACTCCCGTCTCTGGCTGTGGTCCTGCAGTTGGTCTCTGAAGGCCTTTTCCTTCCCGAGTGCTCAGAGCCCTGGCTCTCCAGATGCTGGGTCCCTCACGCCCTCTGCGTGTCTGTAGCTTAACCTTATCCTTTGTCTGTGTTTTCCTTCAGATCAGGAACATCTGAATAAAGAAATTGACAAAATCCGGAAACGCCTGAAAGTGAAGGTCAATCGCCTCTTTGAGGCCCAAGGTACTGGCGTGGGAGGGCTAGAAATAGGGGGAGCAGATTGGGGGGAGCCCTTTGAAGGGCCCTTGGGGAGGGCTTGGAAGGGTGAGGCAGGGACGTCTTTCCCAGCTGGGCGAGGCCAGGGCGGCATATGAGTGGCTCTGAAGCTGTGGGCAGTGGTGGCCGCCACACTAGAGGCAAGTGTTAGGTCTCGGTCCCACGAGCGGCCCTGGGCGAGCTCACTGCGTTCTAGGCCTGGCAGGGCCCGGAGCTCCGAGCTGAGTTTCCGGGGTTGTCCAGCTCCCGCAGAGAGGCCCAGGGCTGCAACAGCCTGGTGTGGGGAGAGGCAGGTGTTGCGTCCCAGGCGGGCCCGAGGCTCCTCCTCAGCCCGGCCCAGGGTGTGGTGGCCTGAGCGCCCGACTTGAGCAGATTGTCTCCCTCCTCCACAGGCAAGCCAGAGCTGAAGGGGTTTAATCTGACGCCCCTCAACCAAGATGAGCTCAAAGCCATCAAGGTCATCTTGAAAGGATGAAGCTCAAGACCAAGGATGGGGAACCTCGGACCATCATCCCCACTGAGGTCACAGAGGACCCTGGACTCTCAAGCTTTGAACCCTGCGAGTGGACTGGTGGAAGCCAGGCTCAGCTGCTACCCTGGCTGGACACAAGGCCCATTGACAGGCCCGCCAGCCGCTGCCAGTGGATGGGTGGGGGCTGCGCTGTGGGGGTGGGTATGACTGCAGTGGGCATGTCAGACAATGGCCGGCTGTCCAGTGAGCTCGGGAAGGACGGGGGCAGAGGGAGCCTCGTGCCAGTATTCCTCTCCAAAAGGGAGGCATCTGCACACGGCCTGTGGGTGGCAGTGGGACCCAGCAGAGGCTCAGGGAGGACAGAGTGGCCGGTGCAGAGGAGCCCACTGCCCCCCAGGAACCTATTATGGTCCTTCTTCCCTTCCAGAGTGGCCCCCCGGACAAAGTGAGTGTGGGGGCCGCTTGGCCACCCCTGTACTTGTCATGGGAGGGCCTTGCCAATGGAGTCCCACCTGCCTTCAGTTGTCCCAGCTCCCTAGGTGACCGGGCTTGGAGGGTCAAATTGTGTCCTCTGGGGGCTCAATAAACTGCCAGAATGAACGCATGCAGTTCACACCTTTCCGTCCTTCCAGTCCTATTTGAGGACTGGCTGCTCCTTTCAGACTCATCCACGAAGGGCAGGCGGGCAGTCCCTGGCCTGGATGGAAGTATTTCAGGCAGGGACATGGGGAGTGGGAACCTTGGTGAGGGTGTTGGAGCTCGTGCCTGCCGCTGGTCCAGGGTTGGGAACCAGGACCGTTAGGCTGAACCCCCTCCCCACTACTGCACATTCAGAAAGCTGCAAAGCTTGGGTGATTGCCAAAAACAAAATAGCTTACGTAGGTCAACTTTGGCTCTATCTGCGGGCCCTTAGTTTGTTTTTGCAAGTAGAAATGACGTGTTTTCCCCGTGGTGGTCCTGAGAAGTAGGGCATGTAGTAGTGGAAATTAAAAGTCTCACCTATGGTAGCAGGGCTGAGGGAACTGGCAGCGCCAATCAGGAAGCAGACCGCCCCACCCCGAGGTGAGAGAAGCACCGGACTGATGGACGTCTAATAACTGACGAGTTCAGATATGACACAGTTCCCTGAGGATGGAAGCTGCACTTACAGACATCCCTGTGACAGTGACAGTGCCACAGTGATCATGTTGCAAACGAGCTGCGGGATTCAGTGAATGATTTCTTAACAACCTGGCTCACGGGTCCCACATGTGAACATGGTTTAAGTTGGTGGGGGTAGTCGGTAGGTAAAAAAAGAGCCCATCAGGTCCTTTCTCCAGGGAACAGGGAACCCACGGCCCACTCTGGGATGGAGTGCCCGTACTCAGAGGCAGGAAGCCAGAGGAGCCTGTGATGCGATACGCCGCACACTGGGTATTGGCCAGCAGCACAGGATGCACAGGGCTCAGTCTCCCCCAGGGCCCCAGTAAATGTAATCTAGTCACTGCTAGAGGTAAGTTCCCTCCGAACCACTGCTGAAAGGACCCTGTCAATAGCTGAGGCGCCTTGTCCAGCGCTGGCTGTCACAAGGTCAAAGCCAAGGCCACATGGTTGCTGCTTGCAGCTGCCCCCAAGCTCGGCCCGTGCCAGTCACTCCAGGTGGAGCCCATGCTTGTTTATTAGACAGGCTCTGGGGGCGCAGGACCGCTCTGCATTGTCCTCTTCGGACCCGCGCGCCAAGCCAGTCCGGGGATTGGCTGTCTCCTGCTGCAGAGAGGCCCGGGGCCGGGGTGGAGGCCCCAGAACACGCAGCCAAACTGCTGCTGAACCAGCAAAGTGGCTGCCAGGCCACGGCGGGAGGGAGGCGCATGATCTGAGGCGCTCTGCTGGTACCCGGAGGATGGCCGGCACCTCCACGGTCACTCTCCTCACAGGTTAGCTGGAAGCTTTCTTGTGGCCTTGGAGGGAGCGGAAGAGCTGCCTCAGCTGGTTTTTCCGATCATTGACGCAGCCTGGAAGGGAAGCCAAGCGCTGGCTGTCACGGCCTGGCCTGGGGAAGGGGCCAGGTCCTCACCCAAGTGATGGGCCACGACACGGGGACTCTGACAGCACCAGGTCATCCTGTACATTTCTCCCTAAGCTGGACACTTGCTTTATGGGGGTGAACATAAGGATCGTGCAGAAGCATAATAGAAAGGGGGTGCTGGGGCTCCCTCTGCAGGGGAGCTTCAGGTGCTGGCGGTGGGGTGAACTGAGCCCTCGCAGCACCCATGTGCGATAGCACTGAAACACAGGTCAGGTTGCTTTGCTGCAATCACATCGTTCAGCAGAATGTACTTTGAACCGGACAACTTAGCTTCCAAGGACAAGCTGTTGACCCCTTCCCCCCGGCCCCCCTCCCCAGCACCCTAACCCCTGAACTAGCTCTTCAGCCAAGAGAAGCTTTAAGCAGCTAGTTTGGGGTGGGTTTATATCCTGGTAATAAAAGAGCATCACCTGGGAGCCTGCTAGGGATACAGAATTTCAGCCTGTACCCCAGGCCTACTTAAGTCATCCTCTGCATCCTAACAAGATACTGTGTACACATCAAAAGCTCCACACCATCCTCTTCACAAAGCAATGTGGCAGACAGTAGGGACCTGCTACAGAAAAGCTCTTCGTGTACTTGGTCTCCTTTGCCTTCATCAAGGCAAACTGCTTAACAGTCCCGGCTTCCGTGAAGCTGGAGCAGACATGTCACCTGGTCTGGCAGATAGTAGCCACGGTCCCTGGGAGGATGTGCTTACAATAGTCCAGGCTTAAAGTCCAGGCCTTGACCTTGCTCCTTCCTACCCGGGACGAGGATGTAATCTCAAGCTGGAGCAGTCATTCTGCAACCAGGAGGCAACAAACATACACACCCAGGCAGCCCTGTGGACCATGGCAAAGTAGAAGGACAAAAGCTAGGTCCTCGGGAGCACCATGTAGGCCTGGTGTCTGTACGACCAACCCTAAGCCTCCTGGTGGCTCAGACAAATGAGTCCTGCTGTGTAGCTATGAGTTGGCTTCTTAGTTGCTTGCTGCCAAATTCAATCCTAAAATCATAGCAAGCCCTAAAAAAAGTCAGCACGTCATTAAAAATACACAAGCAACATTTTTGTTTTGGGGTTCTGAGCCACACCTAGCGATGCTTAGGGGTTACTCCTGGCTCTGCACTCGGGAGTTATTCCTGGCAGCGTACAGGGAACTGCATAGGATGCTGGCTGGGGATGGCTTATCCGCTGTACAACCTCTCTAGCCCCAGTGTGTTTGTTTGCTTTGTTTGGGGGCCACATCAGGGTTCACACCTGGCTCTAAGCTCAGGGATCACCCCTAGCAGGCTTAGAGGACCATATGGGATGCCGGGGATGAAACCCAGGTCACCATGTGTAAGACAAGTGCCTTACCTACTGTACTATCCAGCCAACGTTCTAAAACCAAATGAGACTTAGGAAAAGGTTTATAATACATTTGGCAGAGGCTCACATCCTTAACATATTAATACCCAAGGCCTTTATAAATTTAGGGGGGAAAAGTCAAAAGAAGACAAGAAGGGTGAGGGGAGGGAAGTTTAGCAGTAAAGCACTGACTTGGCTCTAGTGGGAGAACCTGGGTTTGTCCCCAGCACTACGAAGCAACAAGAAAACATGGAAAAATAACGGAGGGAGCCGAAGCCATAGTACAACGGGCAGAGTGTTTGCCTCACATGTGGCTGAGTCAGGTTTGATCCCCGGCACCCAATATGGTCCCCTGAGACCTGCCAGGAGTGATCCCTGAGCACAGAGTCAGGAGTAAGCCCTGAGCACTGCTGAGCATGGCTCCATAAAACAAGAAATAAGGGACAGCTTACAAAAGAAGAAATGCAGATGTAAAAACCAGGAGCTTCCCTAGTTACCAAACGAGTCAAGTTAGCAAAGATTTGGTGGTTTGGCAGTGCTGGGGATCAAACCCAGGGCCTCATATTCAAGGCACGTGCTCTGCTACTGAGCTACATCCCTAGCCCAAGACTGCCTTTTTTTTTTTTTTTTAATATTCAGAGCCGGCAAATTTGTGTAATATTTCTAGAAAGCAAATTGGCTGTGATAAATCCTTTTCACCCAGTAATTCTACTTCTAGGTATCTCACAGAGCCAAAATTTCAGGGCTGAGAGACAGTACTTTGGGTTGGGCGTTTGCCTTGCACGTGTCAACCTGAGTTCAATGCCCAGCATCCAATATGGTCCCCCGAGCACCGCCAGGAGATTCCTGAGTGCAGAGCCAGGAGGAACCCTGGAGCCTTGCTGGGTGTGGTCCAAAAACACAAAACAAAACAAAACAAAATAAAAAAAAAAAGAAGGAGCCAGAATTTCAATCGAGCTGTGCAGTGTAAGAGAATGTTCTCTCCGGCATTATGGATAAAAATGAAAAACTGGAATTGGGCCAAGTGCCCAATTACAATACACTGACTGGTGCATTTGGGGGTGTAGGCCAGCAGGAGAGGATAATGTGCAGGGTTGTGGGTGTCTGGTTTTTAGGGGTGCTGGCCTGCAACAGCTCTGGGTATCCACAGACTCCAGGTCTGAGTTAGGCCACTGTGAGGCCACGCTTGGGCTCGACACTGTGACCAAGACCTTTAGCGAGTGATGAAACATCTGGAGGTGATTTTCCTGTCTGTTAAACAATCATAAAACCGGGACTCCGATGAAATGAGATCACGTATAATATGCAGTCTGGACAGGCCGGCCAAAGAGGTTTCTAAAGGGAGGCTCCAACTAATACTGCCAGATGACATGGAAATGGTTTGTGGAACAGGGGGACCCGAAGCTCCAGCCCGATGCCAAGTTTTTGGAAAAGAAAGGATGAAATGTATGCAATTGGGAAAAACTGGGAGGAAACACACCAGATTGTTAAAGTTGGTTGTGTCTGGATGGTTTTAAAATTTTTCCTTCTTTAGTTTTCAAATATTCTAGAATGAGTGTGAACAATTTTTATAATCAGGGATTTTATACATATATATATGTACGTTTTCACAAACTTAGTTTAAAGACAATTTTTGAAGTCCTTGATTTCGCTTGAGAGTACCTGATGTTGGAAGCCTGTTTTCCACATAAACAGTTTGAAATCCACTCCCTGAGACCAGGAAAGGAGATGTTTCCCAAAGTACCTGGCCCCAGCACCCTGGGTGTCGCTGAAATGATAGTTTGTTCGGGGTGGGGTGGGATGGTGGAGTAAGAGTCAGGTGCTTCCTGTTTGTTCACTTAAAGTAGATTTCTGGACTAGAGAGAGAGCACAGTGGATAGGGTGTTTGCCATGCACGCAGCTGACCCAGGTTCAATCCCCAGCATCCCAATGGTCCCCTGAGCAATGTCAGGAGTAATTCCTGAGTGCAGAGCCAGGAGTAACCCCTGAGCATCGCCGGGTGTGACTCAAAAAGAAAAAAAAAAAGAAAAGGAAAAAAGAAAGTAGATTTCTGGGCTGGAGAGATAGTACAGTGGGTAGGGTGCTTGCTTTGCATGCAGCTCACCTGAGTTTAATCCCTGGCATCCCATAGGTCCCCCTGAGCCCCGCTAGGAGTGATTCCTGAGTACAGAGCCAGGAATAAGCCCTGAGTACCCTCAGGTG